TTGTCTGTTTTGTATATTTCTTTGCAAAAAGATTGATTCTGTGAATTGTCATCGCATTCGTCGTTTGCCATGTTTGATTTTGAACTAAACTTTCAACTACAGAAATGTCTAGCATGTCTCCGTGCCAGAATGAGTTTAGCATGGTTTCATAAGAATAAGCCTTTCTTACATTACATAAGTGGATTAAGCACTTGGGCAATGAATGTCCATAGGAAAGCTTGTATAGTTTGACAAAAATAGCATTTAAATCAGATGCGGTATCCTTTCCAAATCTATTGAGAATAAAAATAAACAGCGTCGTTCTTCTTGGAAATTGTAGATGTAGTGAAAAGTATTTTTCCAAACCATCTTTTGCTTCACGTAAACTTATGCTCAATGATGGAAAGCGTTTAGAAACATCACCAATAAGTTGTGCATTAGCATTGGATTCTGTATATGCAAGAAATTTATCATCAATTATAAACATTACCTGGTGGAGTTTTGATTTTCCTTTCAGGAATCTTATTAATCCAGAAGTGTAATTGCTCTTTCCTGACGCACCAAGAAAAATTTCACTAAAGAGTACAAGACCAAATGTCAATTTTAAGAACTTCATCGTTTTTTTATTCTTTAACAAAAAATTAACCGTATCGTTTGTGAGAGGAATCAACTATTCTTGTAGTCTTACAAAAAAGATGTTGCAGGTTTGACAATTGCTTGTAGTTTGACATTGTTGAAGGGTAAACTCGTCTATTTAAGTTTGCACATACTTGTACAGGGCCTACAATACTCACAATTATTAGTCATTTGATGCTTAAAGATAATAAAAATTTCTTTTTTAAAAATTATTTTTACAATATTTTCCATAATGTTTGAAAATTTACAATTGTTTATCATTTACAATCGGACAGGTTTGTTATATTTCAACATAATCGTTTTCTATGATCCTGTATTATTGTAAGTTTTAAAAAATAGACAAACATCTTTTTCCTTATCCAAAAGCAATCTTTATTTTTTACAATTAAAGTTGACATTTTTCTTTCATTTCTTAAGTGTACCGAAATTATGTCATCACCATGGTAACCCTAAAAAATACAAAACAAAAATTATTTCTTAAAATATCTTAAAATTCGTTTATCCTTTAATACAAAGCAAAAATGTGTAAATGATTTGCCCAAAATTTTTTAACTTTGCTGGAAATAAAATTGCGTAAGACATGTAATAAAAGAGGGATTTTAGCCAAAGTGTATATTCAGTTGTCAGTAATTACGGTCGAAAGTTGTTTTTAAATTATTTTAACCTTAATGGTGGTAACGGTTAAAGTAGTAAAACTATCGGTTTTAAATGTCATACGCATCGGTATGGAATCAAAAGTTTCAAAACAAAAGTTCCAATTCCGCGAAGGACTCAAATTATTATTTTCCCAAATGACATTTTTTCCAAATTAATTTTTGTAAAAAAAGTTTATACCCTAAATTTAACGCTTTAAAGTAACTTTTTACAATTTTTTATTATTACCTTTTGAAAAATAGTTGCAAAAAATATAGACATTATATTAGGTGCAGAAGGTTGTATATTTTTCATTATCGATTACTGAAAAATCAATTAATATTGATTTAAAAATTATTTCAGCAACACAATTTTCTTATTATTGCGTACAAAACATACTCTTATAAAGACAAAAAGTAATAAAATTTTTTTAAGAATTTGCGTTTTAAAAAACATTAAAATCTCGATAAAATTATGTTTTATTAAAATAAATCTTTTATCAACACTCCTTTAAAATTGAATTAATTTAAAAATATTTTTAAGTAAAATTAAATTTCAAGAATAAGCACCATAACTTTAGAAAACAATAATTTTCCAGGGTTTTTGATAAAAATTCCTTGACTTTTTCAGGTTTTGTAGTGGAACATGAAAAAATTTTCATTCAGGAAAATATAAAAGTTTCCTCTCTAAGCGAATGGAATATAAATTTTTGTCAAAAATGTTTGTTAATTATGCAAAATATTAGTTTCTAGAACTAAGACAGAGAGCAAGGGTTTAATCTTGTTTTACAGGCATGAAAAGAAAACTCACCCAGACGGACTGACTGGCACCGCAGCAGCAGTTACAGTGCACGAACCGCGAGAAATAAAATCTTTTGGCGACTTTGAATCGCGATATTATTCAAAGTGCTTCTCGCGATTTCAGAGAGACTCATGTACTTCCTTGCTCTCTTTTTTCTATGTTAAAGTTTTCTGTCATTCACTTTCAAGGAAAAAGGAATTTGTCCCTCTCAATTTTTCGACTGCATTTTTCAACAATTTTACCAATACTCAAATACGTGTGCATGACCGCTTATTATGTACGTCTTATTTCACCGATATCATTTGAAATTCAGCAGAAATACTTTGAATTTTAATGAATAGTTTTCAAATTATGAATAGTTTTCCTGGAAATATTATGATTCGTGAAAAGTGAAAATTCACAAATTTTTATGTCACTTTAGGTTCACATTATTTGAGTATTTTTAGAATGTAAAATTGAACTTTGATGTCATTATATGTTACGTTTTCTTCAATTTGAAGAAGTATCAAAGTTTAACCTTTGCACATTGTTTGATTTAGTTTATTACACATGGAGAAACTTTGGTCGTAAAACGAAGTATTATGATAACTTTATTTATGGATGTTGTTAAGATTCTAAGTAAATTTTGCATTCTACTTTTGACTTTTATTTTATTTTATTTTAAATTATAAAAATTAGTATTTTAAGTCAAACTTTTAAAAATTTAACGAATTAACTTTAATCTTGTTACTTTGGGGGTTTTCAGGGACACTGATAACGAATATGTTATATGAGCTGCTGATTAAAATTTTGATCCCAAATGTTTCTTACGGTTTACGAAGTGTTAATTGAATGGTGTTACTATATTTTAATTGAATCGGCGATCCTGAAAAATCTCAAGTAACGAGTAACATTGATCAATCATTAATGTAAGTTGGACTATAAAATAATTTCTGTAAAGATAGGATAATATCTCTAAACAGTTAATACGGATAATTCTGTGAACCATAAAGTAGAGTATTAATGATGAGAGTCAGAAGATAGGGTGAGGAACAGTTTGTTTTAAGTTTAGTATTCCCTCACACAGAATAAATTCCTTCGAAGGAACAAGGAACCCTTTAGACTTTCAAGCGTCACAACAAGCACGATGTCTTCATTACTTTAATGGAGTGCGAGAGCAAGCTGGGATACGAGAAAGGAGATGACAAAGCAATTTCAGAAAGCAGTAGGTTTGATGTATCGCTTTGATAATCCCGATTATGAAATTGGGAGAATCGTAATCTCAAATGCAAAAGGCCACTAGAAGCGCAAAATATACCGCGAGAATAAAGGCCAACGTAGAAGTAAAAGGCTACGTATAGCCATTCTTCAGATATATATAGAAGTATACATTTCCTCGTACCGAATGAAAAGCAATGGAAAGAAAGAAAGTAATATCGCCTTCGAAATCATCGAAGCACCCCTCTCACTAGCAAGAGCAAAAAGAGCTTTTCAGAAATTCGTTCAAAGCAATTCAAGTTAGAACTTAACTTTTGCGGACAAGAGGTTCTGTTTTATTCGCTTTGTATCACGTCTTCTCATTTCGTCTTACCACTGGCATGACTTTTAAGAAACTAAATCCACTAATGAGCTTTTGCACTAATTTTTTTTATTTAAAATATTATTTTCTTTAACACTACATTTAATGTCTAAATATAATTAATTTTCAGGCAATGTCATACTAAATTTTACTGTATTTTATCTTTTTTGCATATTTATACTTTAAAATTCTTTTTCCAACTATTAGAATTAAAATGAAAAACACAGTGCTCCTCACAAAAGACTTGCTCTTTAGTAGAGATAAATGCATTTATCATTGATATTATCGTAGTGTACGGTATTTGGTGTAAGTAAAGAGTCTTCTGTGCATCGAAGTAAGCATCGCGAGGGTAAACTGTAAAGTGAATCTCATTAGTCGCGCTCTGCTGCATGTTGGCTAGGGCGTCGCTTTGATGTCAAACGATATATCCCCAGGCGTTCGAAGCACACTCCATTATTGTTATAATGCATAAGGACGTTTCTAATTATAAAAAAGAAACCGGAAGTTGTTGACTCCGATTTTTTGCAACCTCTTGTTCTTCATATAAATGCTAACGAAATTTAAACTCTGCTGTGAAAATCTATTGTATTTCATTTTTATTTCTTCGTTGTATTGTTTGATCAAAGCTGCCACGGTTCTAAAGAAGCCTGAAAAATCTGGAATTGAATCGTGAATTTCGAAAAGGGTTCAACTTGGTTTTTTGAAATTTTACAGGAGACATCAAAAACTGTTTATTTCAAACAGCATTGATTAAAAGAGTCCAGCTTTTTTTCGTAGTAACTAGATGCTATTTTATATAAGGAAATGATAAAAAGAATTTTTCTTAATAACAGTAGTGAGTTTGAGAAAATTAATATTATAGTCGTAAGCAAAGTATCACGCTTTAATAATGCTACACTAATCAGTGGCGGATCCAGAATTTACTCCAGGGGGGGGGTCATTTATAGATTCGGCGAGCAACGACCATAATTAGCTGACCTTTTTTTTATGTAAATTTTTCGCCCCAGGGGGGGGGGGGGTCATGACCCCCATGACCCCCCCTGGATCCGCCACTGTACACTAAACTATATAGAAAAAGTATCACACAAGGGGGGAGGGGGTCTAAAATACCTAAAATATTCATCACGTAATATGTGATAAATATGACCCCAAAGTTAAATTAATTAAAATTCAAAATAAAAATTGCTACTCCAATGGTATTAAGAAGAGTTTAAAATTACTTTAATTTTTATTAAATTTTTCTAAAGTTAAATTAAAATTAAAATTTAAAATCATATTCGAAAATGCGCGACTGTAGTTTCATATCTGAAGAATATGTGAGTTTTTAAGGTACTAATATTTAATTTGGAAATGTGAGTTCGCCCTTCTATTTATTTATCTTATCAATGCTCATTTACTGTTTCGATATATGTTTTCGATATTTATTCGCGTCCTTTCCTCGTAATTTCTTTTTAAAGAAAGGATTAAGAAACGAAAAAAAGGAGAAGGAGATTGAGAAATTAAATTATAATTAGTAAGTTACTTTCTTTAACTAATAATCAAACAGTTTTAAAGAAACCTGTCATGTATGTAAGATCGATTTAAAATATTTTAAATATAAATTACCTTAATAGTACCAGGTATGCACTTTGTAAACAAAATGTTCCTAACCTCACTAATTTAGATACCAAAACTTTCTGTTGTTGTGAAGAACTAAAAATACAACAAAAATCATATATATTATACGTTTATAACGTTCATAACGTTTATATAATAATAAACAAACATTTATATGCCGAAAAATGGGTAAAAATTAAAAAAAACGTACGGTGACAGTTTTTCGATATTACTGTTTGCGAACCAGTTTTTGATTAAAGTGACATTTTATTATGTTGGCATTTAAATTTATTAAATAATAATTGTAACTTTCATCCATTTTACAACAAATAGCTCATTTTTATATTTAAAATTTTGTGTACAATTATGATTGTTGAAGTTTGTTCAAAATTTATTTTGGACTTAGGGGAGTTTATTGGTGCTTTTTACTATAATGTTAAGTAATGTTTCGATTTTATCTTTTATGTAAATATAATTTTAAAAACAAGAATTGACAACAAAAATATTTAAAAATAAATTTTTATCCTAATGAATTAAGCGCGATACTTAAATTTCTAAACACTTAAAATTATTTTGTAAAGTACTTTCTTAACCCTCCGTCACACACATGGGAAATAATTGGTGGATTCCACGTCAGTTCAACACACTTATTTTCATGACTTGTTGGGATTTGGCTGTACTTTTGTAAATTTATTACCTTTATAGCGATAAACAACTCCACCAAATATTTTTTCAAAATTTTGAAAATTACCAAAAATATGGCATTTTCAAAATTTTTGTCTTTTTTTTTAAAGTGCTATAACTTTGGTTCTAATTAACCGATTTTGGATTTTAAAAAAAGGATTTCTTTGGTTTTAAGTATATTTTAAGTTAAAATTAATATAAAAAAAAAATCAAAAAAATTTTTTTTTTTTTGAAATTTTGAAAAATTAAAAATCCGTTTTTGAAAAAACATCATCTTCGATTTTTTTCAAAATTTTACTAAATGTTAGGGTAAATGTGCTTTACATGTCCTGTAAGTTTCATTCTGGGATCTCAAAGGGATTCGGAGTAAAAAATTAAAACGTAACCACAAATTACGAACATATGGGGTAAAATTCCTCAGCTGCCTAGGTAAAAAGAATGAATTTTCTCTAAACTTTGCTAAAATGTTACTATTATTAGTAGAAGTGCAAATATTAATTTTTTTCAATTTGATAAAATATTTTTTGAGTTATGGAGTTTCAAAATTTTGATTTTTTTGAAAATATATTTTTTTTCGATTTAATATATTGATAAGTAAAATTAAGCAAATTTAAAGTATGAATAGTGATTTTTAAAGGGCTTTTCACGGGCTATAAGCTGGTGACTATTTTTCTATGAGCCATGTAAAAATCAGAGTGGGACCATGAGAATTTTTGAGGAAAATAATAATTTATCATTATTTTACATAGAAAATGATGATTTATAATTAATTTCTTCAAAAAGTTCCATGGTCTCATTCTGATTTCTACATGGCTCATATGAAAAAGGTAAGCTTTCAATTGGGATAGGTTACGAAAAAATAAAAAAACACTGATTTTGAGATACAGTCTTTAATTGCAGGGACCACCATAAATGAGCGTCTTAAGCGGGAAATCGTATTAAACGGGATCGTATTAACCGGGTTCTCCTGTATATTGAAATTAAGAATTTGACCTTGAATTGCACTTCTACTAATAATAGTAACATTTTAGCAAAGTTTAGAGAAAATTCATTGTTTTACCTGGGCAGTTGAGGAATTTTGCCTCATATGTTCGTAATTTGTGGTTACGTTTTATTTTTTTACTCCGAATCCCTTTGAGATCCCAAAATTAAACTTACAGGACATGTAAAGCACATTTGCCCTAACATTTAGTAAAATTTTGAAAAAATCAAAGATAATGTTTTTTCAAAAACGGATTTTTAATTTTTCAAAATTAAAAAAAAAAATTTTTTGAATTTTTTTCTATATTAATTTTAACTTAAAATATACTTAAACTCAAAGAAATCCTTTTTTTAAAATCTAAAATCGGTTAATTAGAACCAAAGTTATAGCACTTTAAAAAAAAAGACAAAAATTTTGAAAATGCCGTATTTTCGGTAATTTTCAAAATTCTGAAAAAATATTTGGTGGAGTTGTTTATCACTATAAAAGTAATGAATTTACAAAATTACAGCCAAATCCCAACAAGTCATGAAAATAAGTGTGTTGAACTGACGTGGAATCCACCAATTACAACATTACACACGTTTAGAGGGAATCCCTCACCACATTGTAAAATAAGCGACATTACAACATAAACGAAGGAATCAACAAAAATTCAATTTTAACACAAGCTTACAAATATGTAGTAAATTATTCTAAATTATAAAATTAATAAAATTCATTTTCGGTCTCAAAAATAAAAATTAATTCAGGGTGGCCGCAAGTCAGGGAAAAACTGGAAATCAGGGAAAAGTCAGGGAATTTTGTTAGTCAGGGAAAAATCAGGGAAAAGTCAGGGGATTTTTAAAAATTCTTTAAAAGTCAGGGAATTTTGATCGAAAGAAAACAACAAATTAAAAAACTTTGATACTTAAATGTCAATTCAGTTTTTTATTTAGACGTTTTTGTAATATAGCTCATTAGGGGAAAGGTGTACGAGATGATCCCCCTAAGGGAAAAAACCTATTATTCAAAGAAAAATCAACATATTCGAGTTTTTTTGTACGCATTACTAGATAATTAATCTATCTAACTATTCTGATTTGAAATATTTGCAGCTAATTAATATTTTACTATTAAATTTAATTCTTCTAAAACCTTACAAAAGGATCATCTTGGACACCGGGGTGTCCAAGATGATCCCCTTTGTATGGGCAAGATGATCCGTAGGGTTATCTTACCCCAATTTTTGAAAAAGGAGTAAAAATTGAAGGAATAACAGTGTATCAATGTTAAATATACTTTATTTAGACCATAAACGCTTTTGACCACTCACCACGATTCGTTTTCCTATTTTATAATTACGAGGCATTGTCAAAAACGAGAAAATTAATAAAATAGATGTAGATGTCAACTTTTTGTTTTAGATAAGTTAGTTTTCATAATAAAAACATATAAGAAGCGAGAAAAATTGAATTTTTTATTAATACTAGAAAATTCACTTTGAGGTGAGGCGAAATACATGGGAATCAGGGGGGATCATCTTGTACACCCATTGAGGGATCATCTTGCCCCAAATGCCACTATTTTGTAATTTGTTCGTAACTTAACCTACGAGCTCTGTTATTCCATAATACCAATCAAAACACTTAGTTGAAGATATACTGAAGCCGTGAGTGCAAGAAACATGGAATTTCAGCTATTACAACAAAAGTTATCTAAGCCCAAAGTTAAGCTGTCCTTAGATCAAAAGTATGAAATTTTTATTTTTTCCAATAGAATTTTTTTAATGACGCGTGTTGTCATGACAGTTTGACTGATTCATAGGTATGTCATTGGCAACGTATTACCGTATTTGCCTAAAAGGTGGCGCTAATAGGCTCGCCAAAATTCAAAAGGATCATCTTGCCCCAGGGGATCATCTCGTACACCTTTCCCCTATAATGGTGCCGTCACATTTTTTATAAGTTTGGACCTTTTTACGGACATTTTAATGTAGAATATTATATAATTCAAAAATTTGTTAGTCAGGGAAAATCAAAAATTAGTCAGGGAAAAATCAGGGAAAAGTCAGGGAATTTTGAAAATAAAATTTTGCGGCCACCCTGAATTAATTACACGAATGCACATCTTCGAAGGAATTCCACTTGACATGTAAAAATAATGTTACATTAACAAATAAGCAAAAAAATCATTAAACAATTCATTTTAATTATAATAGAAGATGGAGATATTATTGTTGATCAGAGTCAATATATTGTCATAGATGTTTATTAATTGTCAATGAACTGATCAGTATAAAACTTTGATATAATTATCGAGCTTTCGCCTCTACGAAGTGAGGCCTTTTCAAGAATATAACACATTTTAATTATATTTATAATATAATTTTGTCATTAACCAACAGAGGAACAAAAAATGTTTTGAAAACTTGATTTTTTTACTTAACCCCTTCAGTAGTGTGTAGCTAAAATATAACAAAATGGTCCCAAAATGTGTAAGACCTTCTTGTGAATAAATTTTCATGACACTAGGTACTAAGGGGTTTTTGGGGTCGCTGATTACGATTCCGGTGTTAGTTTTCAAAAATTCAAAATGGCGGATCCAATATGGCGGACATGATTTTGAAAAAATTCATTGGATACGCTTAAAATTCGTTATTCGGGGGTTTTTGGGGTCGCTGATTACGAATCTGTTATTAGTTTTTCAAAGTTTAAATGGTAAGAATTTTTAAAATAATTTAACCACTTTTGAAATTTTTTAAAATTTTTGGCGGCCATTTTGTATAATAAATTATTTATTTTGAAAATCTTACTTCAGAATCGTGATCAGCGACCCAAAAAACCCCCGAGTAAGAATTTTTAAAAGAATTTATCCACTTTTATTTATTTATTTATTTATTCAAGAAGTTGACGGGTAAAACCCTTTCGTACAGAGTACTAAAATAACTAAAGACTGTACTTAAATTAATAACTAAAAGCTAACTGGCCGCATTATTATTCACATCCGTAGTTATGATACACCGAAAAAAATCTCGATGGTATTATTAACTATTACCCTACACTGAAAAAAATTAGGCTGACAAATTCAACTACCTTTGGGTAGTTAAGTGAAAAGTAGTAAAAACAACTACTTTTTTAGTTAGTCTAACCCGGTTTGCGTAGTTAATTTAACTATTTTTATGTAGTTGATAAATAGTAGTTGATTCTACTAATATATGTAGTTAAATTTTAACATCAGGTAAGTTGTAGAATTGACTACAGTGCGGTAGTAAGAACAACTAAGATAATAGTTTACTCAACATTTCATAAGTAGTAAATTTAACAATTTTATAGTAATAAATAGAAAGTAGTAAAAGGGACTACTTTTGTAAGTAACGTAACACTTTCTTAACTAGTAAATTTTACTACTTTAATATAGTTAACACCAAATTGTTGAATTAAAGAATTTATACGGTTGAATTTGAAACAACACGTGACTTGCACAACTGACTATCGTAAAGTAGTAGAGGGAACTAATTTTTTTATTAGTCAAACCTTTTTCGTGTAATAGACTTTACAACTTTTATGTAGTTATAGTAGTTGATTTGACTACAACATTAGAGTAATAAAAATAAATGAATAATATTGTTGAAGCCTATCGAACCACTCTAAGTAGCAAAATCTACTACACAATGCAGTAGTTTTGGTGAGAAAATAATAGATAATTTTAACTTTTTGAACTTAAGTTTTACTACATTGAGTAGTAGATTGTACTACTTAAAGTAATTAGAAAGGATTGAACAGCATTTTTAAATAAAGCAAAGTTCAGAAATAAGAATTTAAAGAAGATAAAAAGAACTAGTAAAAGTAGTAAATACTACTACATTACATTGTAAAATGAACTACAGTTGTCGGTTGATCTATGTCAAGAATGTCATCAGGTTTCATGCAGACCATCGTAGCGTGCGAGCGTGGTTAGGTGGTTAGGTTATCGGTTTGCGAATGTTAGGGTCGTGCGTTCAATCCCCGGCGTTTGAGGATTTTTCTCCATTATGTACATAAGTGTTGAAAATTATAAAGTATATGTGACCAATAGGAATGCTAGAGGAGATGAAAAAATGAATTTCAGTAATAATAATAATTAATAAATAATAATAAATAATTCTACTACTTTTAAGTAGTTGCTGACAAAAACAAAAAGATGTTAAATTTTACTTTATAAAACAGATCATTAACTACTTTTAATAGTTAATTCTACAACAGAAATGTCGTTAAAGCCTATCGAATTACTTTAGGTAGTAAAACCTACTCCTTAAAGTAGTAGATTTAAAAACAAAATAATAGTTAATTCTACAACAAAAATGTCGTTAAAGCCTATCGAATTACTTTAAGTAGTAAAATCTACTACCAAAATCTTAGTTGTTATAATTACTTTAAAGTTAGTCAAATAAACTACTAAATCACATTCAACCAACTACATTCTTAGTTGTCTTAACTGCTTTTATGATAGTTAGTACAACTATTTGAATTCAGTTGAGGACCTATTGAATTACGTAGAGTAGTTAAAAAGTAGTCAAATCTACTAGTTTTTTTCAGTGTATAGTTAATCTTAATCTAGTAAAAGTAATAAGGATTCCTAATCATTATGGTTGGGATCGCTAGGTTGATTCAACAAATTCAAGCCTGGCAAAAACAACCCTGCAAATCCTAGTCAAATTGACTAGGATTTTAGTAATTTTGCCTATTTCCATAATGCGCACGCGTCTGCTTCTGTTCTGACAGTGTTTACCTCTATATCTTTCGCGTCATTTATCGTGATTTCGTAAAACGATTTTTTATCATTACTCGCGTCTATTTTTTGTACATAAAATGGAGTTCTTACATACATCAAAATTGCTGGTTTCTCGGAACCTCTGGAAATATAGATGGTCCATGTTTTAGAAAGTAAACTATTTAATTATATTAGTCAATTCTTTCAGACTTTTTTGGTTAGGTTTCAATATAAATCGTCGAAATTTTTACGCACGTGGTGACAACATTTTTACTATTTTAATCGCGCAGTGTGTTTGAAAATTTACCTTTGCAATAATTTGTGTATTTAAATTTATTTCCATTTAAGGGCATTTGAACCATGATGACGTCACAGATTTAAAACTAATGCTTTGCACAAACTGTGACGTCATCAAGGTTCAAATCCCCTTAAATGGCATAAATAATTAAAAATAAATAGTTTTTGACAAGTGTATAAAATTGTGTACTTGAAATGTGTAAAACATCATCTGATTAAGTATTGTATTTTGACTCGAAAATCTAGTGTCTATTAAAAAATTAAAATACCAAGTCGTGTTTAGTGTAGTGGTTATCGTTCCGGGTTTTAAAGTGCGTATTCGTTAGGTTCAGGTGTTCGCGTCCCCCCTGCGGCAAATATTTATTTCATAAGTTTAAATTAATTCCAAGGAATATAAATACAAAGTCAAATATAAATATGTTCAAATACAAAAATTAATTTTTTTCTTTACCCCTTTTTTCTTTTAATTACTTTTTCTCTTTTATTTGATAAGAATTTGATTAGCAATTTCAAATAATTATGATACACAGTGTAAATCTAATATTATTCTCCTAGTCAATTTGACTATTTTTTCCTGATTACATCGATTAATTTTCTTGGTCACTTTAACTATGCTTGAATCTTATTACTTTGACCAGGATTCTATAGTTGGCTCCTCTCGTAACTAGGAAACCTAGTCAATTCCTGGTATACGGGTCCTAGGCATTTTTTTCGGTGTACGCAAATTTCTTACAAACGCACTTTTGAAATTTTTCAAAATTTTTGGCGGACATTTTGGATGAAAAATTATGTATTTTGAAAATATGACTTCAAAATAGTGTAGAGGGTAGAGGGAATCCCTCCCTAGGTGTGTAACGGAGGGTTAAAAAAATTTTTTTTACACTTTTTTAAAAAATATTTTAGATGGCGGCGGCCTTAATGCGCTGGGGGTCCATAGGCAGTTGCCTAGTTTACCTCTGTATAAATCCGGCCCTGATTAAAAGTAAAAAACAGTTAAAAAAGGTTTCCAATTTTTGAAGAAGCTTTAATAGCTTTTAGAACTTGTTGTTGTAGATTTGAAAATTTTGCAATAAACTTATTTAAACATCTCCTTTGATTTCAGCACAATGTGAATTTAGTTGTTCGATTCTATTCTTTAGTCACTATATCTTTCTTTGACCCATTTGATGCGTATCCTGATTATTGTAACGACATGTTTTGTAAAGAGCACCCTTACAATTTTGACTATTCAAGTGTTTATAGAGTAGAATTTTTTTTTCTTTTTACCATTTTTATTTATTTTGCTTCAAAGGCAAAAGTATTTCATAGTCACTCACCGAATTTATTTCATTTCTAGACATCCAGTATTGATAATTACCTCCGCTCACCTGGACTAGTATAGGATAGGTAAATTCTTGAGATGGAACCTGCTCCCGGACAATTTCACCACCCTGATGGTTTCATCGCGAAATACCTACGGTCGATGTCAGCAAGATCTTCGTTCCCTTTTCCAATCGCACCCACTCAGATCCACGACATATCATCTGCTTCGTATATAAAGTACTTCAGATCAATATGGACGTCTCTGACAACAGCGATTTATCCCGCTGTCGACGGGATCACACAAGATGACTTCGTTCTAATGTGTCGCCACTTACTAGTCGCTAGACTAAATCATGTCAACGCTGAGTATTATGATGGCCGGAGTCTTGCGCCAGGCTGCAGTGTGCTTCCACTCAGCCTAAGTAACGTCCTTAACGGAATTGGCGTCGTCACCACTCATGAAGGTGGCGTCGTCAATGTTCCACGATACGGTGGAGAGCCAGCTGACAATGAGCTAACATCCACAACGGCAGCCATAGAATCTGGCTTCGCAAACCTAATTCTGGCCTGCAAGGTTAGAGACAGCATGTCAGAAGAAGTCGCTACTGGTAACAACAATGACGTTATCGTTCGAGCCAGCTTTAAAGAATGGACGCCTAAAGATGCATTGTATGCATCGATCGTTCAGAATGGAGCAACCGGAGTTTCTTCTGTAGATAAATCCAACGTGTGGCATTCCAACTACATATCAAACGTATTAGGGATGCGCCACTCCTTCAACCTAGGAGTATAATCATTATTATTTATTTGTTTAGTTATAAGTTATCCATGTAACTATTTACCTCTATTCCAAAAAATGTAAAGTTTTCTAATAAAGGGGGTGTTCCCTAGAACGCAGGTTCATAAGAACTTCTAGGCACCCGTCCAAAACAAATTTTTTGAATTAACTTGATATTTAAATTTGATAGTGTTTTTTGGTCAAAAAATGAGTCATTTTAAATGCTTTCCTTCTATAAAAAAAAAATTCTTGAAAACAGCTGTTTTTTTGCGTTTATGCGCAATGGCCTTACCCCTTGTTGCGGTAAGCATGCCAATGAGTTATGAGAACAGTTTGCTATTTGCAACAGGCTTAAATAGCAAACATTTTGCAATCTTACAGCTTAATTGAGTATATTTATTTGTCATTATTTATAAAAATTATAATAAATCAATGCAACAATTTATAAAAAATAACAACTGACTTAAAATACTTATTTCTATTTCAATGATATTGACAATATTTGAAAGAAATGTATATGCAAAGAATTTTAGTTGTTGGAAAATCAAAATACATACTTGGAACACTTAAAAATCTTTTTTTAATCTATGAAACGTAAAATATGAAAAACTTTTCAATTTCAGTTTCAAAATATGAAATCACAGCCTTTATTAGTAAAATATTATAAAAATACGTTTAGAAGCACCACTTAATGTATCCTAATTTTTTTCATCATGTTTAATACACTGAGTCCAGGAAGTGGGCATGTAGGGTAGAAATTATGACATCCTTGACCTTCTAACCCTGCTATTAATTGACCCATGTGAGCAGCAAAGTGATATCTTGACGGAACTTCAGCCATGGTGTTTAAACTGGTATCTCTAAACAGAAAGATTTTAAATTTGTATCAAAGTAAAATTTTATCAATGTTTGTTTTATCCCAATGATTTGATTCAAATAGTTCCAAACTTATTGTTTGTGCTAAACAAAATTCATTTTCATTCAAACCCGAAAAGTTAAAAAAATGTATTTCAAAATCTCTCTTAAACCTGAATAGACGTATATTTCCTCTTTAATCAGAAAATGCTCCAAATATAATATAAGAGAACTCATAGAAGGTTATAGTTTCGACTCGTAAATTCTTGGGAAACTCTTAAAACCCAAAACGCAGTTATACTAAATTGAAGATATAAGGTTTTATGCACTTATGCGTTATGGTTTGATTGACCAGAATGTTTGGCAATTTCCGAGTTTCAACAAAAGTGCATCGCCCAAAGTCAAAAGGAAGTGTGTTCCGTTATGCGCAATATATCCTGCCGAAGGAGTCCTTTTTTGTTGAAAGGGGATTCTTTACGATCTTGATACACTTCGTAGTTCGACGAACGTCTCGTATAGAAATAACGAATAAATGCCAGAGGCTTTTTAGCTTCTCCATCTTGATCGGTTTAACTCAACACGATCTGACCAATAAAATCACCCTGCCGCGCTACATGACGGTATTCGCGTTACGTGCGTTTACGTTCGCATAAAAGTAAATATAAAGCACGAAACTTTCCAGGACATTAAGTACATCGCGAAGAATGAGAATGGCTAAGATGACGATCTCATTTACTGTTGCTAAAACAAGTTGTCTTACTCGCGTTCGTTTTCCTATTGATGCATTATTTGAAAGTTAGCAGTTAACCAATAAAAAAGTATATATCTTATTTTAAGCTCAATTTTTACTGAAACATCTTTCCTTAGTTTAATCGAACAATTTAACTAAGCTAAACAATAAGCTTTGTATTACAGTCAGTTTTTAAAAATTCAAAATGGCGGACGACATTTTAAAAAATTGCATGAATTTGCTTCAATATTGTTACTTAGGGGTTTTTGGGGTCACTGATTACGAATCCGATGTGAGTTTTTAAAAATTCAAAATGGCGGATCCAATATGGCTGAAAAGATTTTAAAGAATTGCTTCAATTTGCTACGAAATTGCTATTTGGAGTTTTTCGGGGCGCTGATTACGAATTTGATGTCAGATTTTTTAAATTTTCAAAATTCAAAATGGCGAATCCAATATGGCTGTCGTTTTCTAACTGGTAAAGATTAATTAATTCATATTAAATCCGCTATTTTGAATTTTCAAAAAAGGACATAAAAATTCGTGATTTGCGACCCAAAAAACTCTCGAATAAATTTTAATAAATTTAAGCAATTTTTGAAAATCTTTTCCGACGTTTTGATTTTTAAAAACTCACATCGGATTCTTAATCAGCGACCCCGAAAATAAATCAAAGCAATTTTTGAATATCTCGTCCTCCATATTGGATCCGCCATTTTGAATTAAAAAAATTTTTTAAATCTTAAAAATTGAAAAATGAAAATTTTTTAAAATTAATTTTGAAGCAAATTCAAGCAATTTTTGAAAATCTCGTCCGCTATATTTAATTTTTAAAAAAGAAACAACGGATTCGTAATCGGCGACCCTAAAAACCACTGAGTAAGAATTTCGAAGCAATTTTAATGTTTAAAAATATTTTGATAATTTGTTTAAATATTCAGCCATATTAAATCCGCCATTTTGAATTTTTAACTCTGACTCCAAATTCGTAATCAGCGACCCTAAGAACATATAAAAACAGTGTGTTGTAGTGTCTATTCGGAATAGAAAGAAATTTACCGCAAATTAATTGGTTGACTTTTATAAGAATTACATAAAATTTTCACAGTGGGACATAATATATGTCCCGGAGGAGGCACGAGAGGGTTAATTCGAGTGCCTATCTTTAATAATTTATCTGAAACAATCATAATTCGAAAATCGATTTTTTGCTTCTTAAGTGCTTTTCTTCGCGACGAGTCACATATTTTTTGAATCCTAGTAAAATTAAAAAATTTTAATTAAAGTAAGTTGTCATTACCTGATTAAGTTCAATAATGTCGTTTCCATCTCAGTCAGTTGCTCCTGATGTACATGTGACTTTAACTCGCAAATAAGTTTAGGCAAACATGCGGTTTTAATTGTTGTCATCAACTTGGAACGACGAGAAATAACTGCATAATAATTTTACAAAAATTATAATTACCACACTTTTCATTAAAAATAATCTTTTAAAAGTAAAATTAACGTAATTGTGTACCTTGGTCTATAAAAAGAATCTTTTTTTTTAAAAGTCGATTTTGATTTTTTTACGGTTTTCATACAGAAAACTGTTTGTAATAAAACAAACCCTTGACTTCTAGATTTTTAGTTTATTATAATTTTACATTTAAAAAAAATTTGAATTACTTGTAGAAAATTTGCACTGCGAGATTATTCTTCTAATTAATTTCAGATCATAATTTTTATACAATATAAAAAATAAAATAATGATAAAATTATGGTCTGAAATTAGTTAGAAAAATAAAGAAGTAAGTTTTCAAATAAAACATTAAATAATAATTGTATTTTTTAGCATTTTCAGCCTAAAAACAAAGCTTTTTTTCAAAATAAAAATTGAATTCTTTATAAAAAATTACTTTGAAAAAAATGTTGTGGAATATTGAAATTATTTTCATGCTATAATTAAAAGCATCGGTGGACCCTACCCTTAATGTAAAATTTTAATTATATTACCGTTTCTTTTATCGAAATTGATTTTGAGTTCATCTTTGAATAACTTTTCAGAAGAAGATTCTGTTTTTGGCTGTCCATTTATTAGCTTGAAAGTAGAATTCCGTTCTGCATTATTTCCGAAAATTGTAGATATTAATGAGCTGTAATCGCTGACGAAAACCAGAAACATCCCCAAGAAAATTACAAGACGGACTGTCCCTGTATCCATGATTTCAGCATTGTCATAAAAAGATACTGTGAACAAACAATGTATTATATATAAGTCATCTAGTAAGTATTTTATTTATGTCACATTAACAAGGAAAGATCGCTGAATACGAAACTGTGGTTATTTTTAAAAAAAAATTCAAAATGGTGGATCCAATGTGGCGGACATGAAAATTAAAAATCATCTGAATGTGCTTGAAACTAGATACTCAGGAATTTTTGACGTCTTTGGATACGAAAATGAAAATAGATTTTGATGATTCAAAACGAATTTCAACCGAATTCAATTGATTTTTTTATGTCCGCCATATTGGATCCACCATTTTGAATTTTTAAAAACTGACCCTGGATTAGTATTCAGCGACCCCAAAAACCCCTGAGTAATTACTATTTTTAAGCGAATTCAGTCGATTTTAAATTATCAGGTCCGCCATATTCGATCCACCAATTTGAATTTTTAAAAAATAATCACAGATTCGTATTTAGCGACACTAAAAACTCCCAAGTTTATAATTATATGAGGAGGTACCATGTTTCAGAAAATTATCGTTATTTGGGATGTAACCTTACCGCAAGCCTGCAGCAATACGTGCTTGAAATTATTAAGGCATTTTGCTATTTTCTTACTCACTTAATTTAAAAACTCAGTTTATTTGGGTCATTGTCAGTATTCTGCAAAACAGGAAGGGGGGTACTGAGTAAAAGTTTACTTAGAGGAGAGGGGGTCAAAACCGGGTAGGCAGGTTAAACTTGGTACTCTTGTTTTTCCAGATTAATTACTCCTACCTTTGTGTTAATCTTCAGAAACATTTTTTAAATAAAAGTAAATATCAGAATTATTTGTCACATTAATGTGTTAAAGAAAGAATTTAAAGGTCGAATTAAATTAATTTGCTCGTTTCAGTCTTTGTAAAAGAAAAATAACGGACTATTCCTTACGTTAATCTAGTTTTAAAAAAGGGCGTGCACAGTGATTGTGTAAGCTTTACTACTGAAAATTGAAAACATTTTTTTCTTATGTATCATTTACAAGATATCTTACTTGAGTAATGTCAAAAATTTATAAATTTTTTGTTTGCACAAGAAATTATTATTAAAAATTATTTGAAAGAAATTTTTTAATTAGGTACTGAACTTCTTACCAAAACCAAATCTAACTCATAATCTTTAGGAAAATGTTGTATATATTAAAACAAATAAAAATAGTTATTAACAAAAAGATTTACTTTTAGAGTAAAACATTAATTGTAACTTTATAAACCGATAACAATTCCTTTTATACTAAGTTATAAATAAATTTAATTTTAGCACTATACTCAAATAGCGTCACTTTTATAAAAATTTGCAAAGATTGATAAATATTTAAAGAAAAATGTCCATAATGTACCTCTGTTTCAAGTGTATCAACTCTCTTTAATAAATTCGAGAATGCAGAAACTCTGATCCTTGATCCAATGTCTAGATATTTTATGTAACTGTAAAAGAGTTAAAAATGTTATAATAACTAATTGTTATAGATAGATTTAAATTGTTAAATAGTGAATGATTAATAAACTAATAAAAGTTGAGAATATTAATATTTGAATTATTTTCATTTCTATTACTTACTTTTTAGTTTTATTTACACTTTCTACTCTCTAAATCTTAATAAGTTGATTAAAAAATACGTCAAAAGTCTCCTACGTACGAAGATAATTATGTCACGTGCTTGGAATTATAAATTTTATAAATTTTATATATTTTATTTTCATATATTTCAACTTGAAAAAATTGATATTTACTTAAAAATAAATGAATATTCACTTACAATTAAGGAAATATACAATTATTATTTATATGGAAAGGAGTTCAACTTAAGTTAAGTTAATTTTTAATTAATCAGATTTAGAGAGTATGAAATTATAAATTTTCTTCCAAATAAAAAATTATTCAAAAATTACAAAGAAATTCACAAGGTAAACAGAGGTAAAGTAGAATTTAAAATTTAATAAATTAAAATTTTTTACGTAATTAAATTTGTTAAATCAGTAGAAAATGTTAATTTCCCACATATACAAATATTTCAAATTTTATTTTTACGATATGATTTATTTAAATATACTATTCACTATATTCATAAACGTAGCACCATTGTATTTACCGTCCTTATCAATAAACTTAAGCTTTAATAAAGTTATGAATATAAAATGTTTTGTCTAAAGAAAATATGACTTTTTTGCTAATTAATATAATAAAAATTTGGCAATTCTATACCGAAAGTAAAAGTGTTCCAGACGTAGTGCCTTAGAGTCAGGCAATGACTGCGGATGATTGGAAAGCGCGAGTTGGCTAACAGTACAATACTCTTAAAACTTGTCAGTGAAAGTAAGTTTATCTTGTAAGCCTATATTGCGTTGTTGATCACGTATATGAGTATGGAAAGTGAACGTGATTTCCGAGGACTTTATTTCATTCAATGTGTTAAGGCCACAATCTTTTTTAATTGATCCTTTTCGATTATTATTTAATAATAATATTTTTATTAAAAATAGTTGATAAATTGATATAGCTCTGATTAAAATTGTTATAAATAACGAAAATCAAAATTTAATTTCTGCATTATTTTTAATATTGCGTATCGTAATTTTTATGGATTTTTATATGGTGTATTTGTGGTATTCTATACATTAGCAAAAACATTTTTTTAGATTTAATTAATTTTTAATTATTTACATTTATATAATATTTAAATTGTCTAAAAATAATTTCTACAAATGTGAATATGAACTTATAAAGAATTGTTTATAAATAATTATTGAAATAAATATGAATATTGCAACTGCATGTAGAAATATGCGTAATTCCTAGCACATTAAAATAAATAAAGAGTATTAATATATAGATTTTAAAAAATAGTACAACTGCTGTAAATTACTCGACTATGTTGGCTAATATAGTAAGTAAGTTAGAATACCAGCAGTAGGTAGAAAAATATAATCGCATTCATTTTTCATACCTGCAGATAAATAATGCACACTTTCAAACACACTTTCATACTGGGTCATTCCAGGTGAAATTTTCATTAAAAACTTTTTTTGTCTGAAACAATTTTTTTCCGAATTGTATATATGAAAATATAATACACGTATTCTTTATTTTGTTATTTGGTAAAAATCGTGGGAGTTGTGACCATTATTATTGTACACCATTATATTATAGCCTTGAGCATGTAAATCTTAACCAATTTTTATCTGTTTTCTAAGCACTTGCTATTACATTTCTAATAGTCCCTTCGAGGTCGATTTTATATAAAAAAAATTAATTTTGTTTTATTTATTTATAAACATTTGAAAAAACATTTTTTCACGAAAATAGAACTCCTTTAAAATACAATATTTACATTTAACACTTAATATATATAATCAATAAAGGAATATTATACACCACAGACAATAGAAATTTTTTTTTTTATATTTGTTATAAACAATTTAGAGTCTGAAAAGTTAAAAAATTGCTATATTTTATAGTTTTAAAGTTTCATTTATGAAACAAAAGAATATTTTATACCTTTAATTAAGATATTAAAAAATGTTATTTACGTTAATTAATTAAACATTTTTAATAAACAAATAAATAATAGAATTGTTTTTTAGAAAAAATTCTTTATTTTCTTATGCGGTTTACTAATAAATCCTTTCAACATATTCCTTTTTAAAGTAAAAATAATGAAATAACATCTTTAAATTATTTAAATAATATTAATTAACAAATACCTCATTGTTAATTTTTACAAGAAAGTAATCCCTTTTTACACAAAATTATTTTAACATAGGGTAGAGTGGGGTAAAAAAGCCATGGTGTAAAAAAGCCATTTGAGTTTTATTTAAAAACTATTAAGCCGATTTATCAGCTGTTTAGAATATAAATACTATTAGGTAATACGCAACTTTTGAATCTAATTTGAATGTTGTTCCTAGATTAATATTGTTTTTATTGTAATTTTAATTTTTTGTTGCTTTTTTGAAAACATTTTGGTGAACTTTTCAAACATATTACAATCTGATTAAGTGAACGAATAGTAAAAGTAAATGTTTGTACATAAGGAGAAAAGTATACCGAAAAAGTATACAATGTTAATTTTTAGAAATTGAACTGAATTAACAATTTATTTTTGCTTTTTTTAATAACTGGTCTTGGGTGTAAAAAAGCCAGGGCAAAAAATCCATTGAATATTTTGTGAAATTCACTTGTTTTCTATTTAAACTAACCTTCTTATTTTACAAAATTTCTCGTGTTTATTTAATAAAATAAATTAAACACGACGAAAAAGTAGTTCAAAGTGCATTTAAAAAATAAACAATGAATAAACGGTTGCAACGAAATATGTTATCTGTGGTAAAACTTAAAGAGAACTTCTAAAAAAGGTACGAAAAATTGGCAGTGCAAATCGAAAACAGGTAAACTTAATATAATTTTCAATTTTGCTTGCTAAAAACTCTTTAATATTTATTAAAATATTTTTCAAATAAGACTATTTGTCATATAAATAAAGGAAAACTATAAAAATACCTAAATTGATAACATGTTTTGCTAAAATCAAAGGGTGGCTTTTTCACCCCACCAGGTGGTGCAAAAAAGCCACTTGCAGTGCTTTCGTAAAACTCTTATAACTTAGTCCTTTCATGAGATAAAAAATATTTCCGGCAAGAATTTTCAAGCTTAATAACTAAACTTTCAATAACAATTGGAAATTTGAGAAAAAAATTTTAAATACAGATTTTACAGCATCAAAAGTAAAAATGTGGCTTTTTTACCCCACTCTACCCTACTAATCTACTTGCATTTAAAAGTATCTAGAAAAAATGTAACTAATGATTAATCGATTTATTTAAACAATCTTAATTAACAAAATCTAAAAATAAAATGTGAATATCAATGTTTAAACTTTTTTAAGAAAATATTTTTGTCTTTTATGATTGTAATAAAATAAAATCCTCTTATAATTGAATATAGTACCTATATTTATTTTGTACAAACTTATTATGTATTAATTGTTTAAAAAATTTTATGTGACTTATTGCGTATTTTGAATTTGTTTATTAAAGTGACCTGATTATGATGATATGATGCTTAACCCTTAAAGAGCCGGATTTATACAGAGGCAAACTAGGAAACTGCCTATGGGCCCCCACCATCTAAAATATTTTTTACAAAAAGTATAAAAAAAAATTTTTTTAAAAAGTATTTTACAAAATAATTTTAAGTGTTTAGAAATTTAAGTAGTGCGCTCAATTCATATATAAAATATACTTTACTTAAAATTTTAATCTTGGTAAATTTTTGAAAAACCCTTCCCTTACATGGGGCCCCCACCAGGATTGTCTAGGGTAAGTAAATTCGGCCCTGCTCTTTGAAGCATACATTTTTCTAGTCAAGGAATTTAATAACCAAGTACACTTTAGGGGGTTTTTAGGGTCGCTGATTAAGAATCTAAAGTCGGATTTTTCATATTTTCAAAATTCAAAATGTCGAATCCAATATGGCCGACTTATTTTTTAAAATTGGTCAAATTCACTTGAAACTTGTTACTCGGAAGTTTTTGGGGTCGCTGATTACGAATATGAAGTCAGATTTTTAAAATTCGCAATGGCGGATCCAATATGGCGGAATTTTTTTTTTAAATATTGATAGAAATCACTTGAAACGTGCTATTCACAGGTTTTTGAGGTCGCTGATTACGAATATTAAGTCAGATTTCAAAAATTCAAAATGGCGATAAATTAAAAAAAATTCGACCGCCATATTGGATTGGCCATTTTGAATTTTGAAAATCTAATTCCAGATTTGTATTTAGCGACCCCAAAACTCCCCGAGTAACAAGATCGAAGTGAATCTGTTCGATTTTTAAAAATATGTCCGCCATATTGGATCCGCCATTTAAAATTTTTAAAATCTGACTTCATATTCGTAATCAGCGACCCCAAAAACATCTGAGTTACAAGTTTCAAGTGAATTTGAGCAATTTTAAAAAATAAGTCCGCCATTTTGAATTTTTAAAAACTGACCTTAGATTCATAATCAGCGATCCCAAAAACTTTTTAGACATGATCCTCAAAGTATCTTATATTGTTGGTTAGACACAAATTACATTTATTGTAAAAAACCGATTTTTTTAAGTTTATTTATAACATTTACTTTATCACCAAAAAAAGTTTTTTTTTCTTTGTTATACTAAGGAATGTTCTCTAATACATGTAGTATGTTTTTTGTCATTGAAACAAATGAAATAGTGCTTGAATAATGCAAAAAAGTGGAGAAAAAAAGGTAACACTCAGTAATGTCACTATGCCGTAAAGAGTTAAAGTAGTAATAACTTTAAAAAATTAAGAGTATGTTTTATTTATTCTATAATATACTTATGAAATTTTTAAAGACAATAATTTATCCAAAAATTATTTGCCTGTAAAAATAAAATTTTTTTCTATTTTCATGATTTTTTATTTAATAAAAAATGTTATTTCATAAATTTTTTTTAAAAATCCATGAAAAAGTACTCAAAAAATATATCAACGGTACTAAAAAGTATTTATAGAGTGTGATATAAAGACCAGATATTGTGCAATAAACGAGAACCGAAAATTTTAGGGCGATCCGTCATTCAGGACGATTGACTGCGTACACATGTATGAATTTAATATGTAAAAATTACACAGGGAAATGCAAAAGCATTGACTTCTGAATGGTTTTTATAAACCATGTAAAACCGCTTAAAATCTCTATATGAGCGAGAAATCCAAAAATGTTTTATCACTTTTGATTCTATATGTAAGCTTTGTCAAACAATACTATATCAACTAACGAGGTGATAAAATTGTAAAAACAATGTAAAGCGGTAACATAAATGTTTTCTATTAAATGAATGTTATATATGTAGGAATCTATAAAAATAAAAAAAAATGTTGAACGCATTTTAGTTTCGAGTAGATAATACTCTGGACTGGAAGCGCTTTTATCTTTACACTCACAGAATAGTGGCTTCTATCGCCTTTTCATCTGGACTGTTGTTATTATTTTTCACTCGAATTGCTAATACCAGGGGTTGGGTAAATAAATACCTCCTATGCAGAACAGACGAGCGTTCGCGTTTTCGTTTATAAGGCATGTATCGGCTTCCTAGTAAAGCTGCTTTACTCGCATAAATGTGTCTGAAGAGGACAAAGTAAAATATTTTTAAATTAAATATATTAATCAATAATAAAACATCACTTCTTGTTTCTTTTTATGTCTTTTAGTATTATTATTATTGTAATCAGTTATTATAATTCCTTAACAGTGTTGTCAAA